AAGTGCAACCAACCCCCTGGGGCACGAGGGAAGAAACAGGTGGCAACAGATCCAAAGCCTGCTGGTTCTCACCTGTGCGGGCCCACCCTGGTGCGTGGGCTGCTTGGCCCCAAAGGTCTGGGCATGTTTGCTCATCCTCTCCTTCTTGGCCTCCACAGCTGCATAGTACCTGGGCATGCGGAGGAGGGCCATCACAGTCAACCCAGCCGGCCCAGCCCTGCCCCTGCCCCTGCCCCAGCTTACCCCTTTGTGTGGAAGGTGCCTCGGGAGTCCAGCAACAGGAAGAGTTCGCCCTGGGTCTTGGGACTGTTCCCAGTGAAGAGATAATGCTCCAGAGGGACAGGGCGAGCAACAGTGCTGATCACGTAGATCTGGCGGCGCTTCAGACGTCTGGGCAGGAAGGAGGCGGTGGTCAGGGGCGGCAGTGTGGGAAGAAGCAGCCCACATCCCCACCCACCCTCCCCCTCGGGGCTCGCCATCTTTTCTGGGAGTCAGACTGGAAGGCTGTCCCCAGCATTGTTTCTCTCAATATTCAAAGTGGCCTGGGCCTAAGTGGGCCACGTTCCCCAGCCTCACCTCTGCCTCCTCCCCACCCCACAGTCTGACCACTTTCCCTGCTGTGGCAGTCCCCCCCCCAAACAAGGAAGACTACAGCCCCCTTCACCCAAGCACCCCAGGACGCACATCTCACCCAATCCAGTCAGCAAACTCAAGGGCATTGGGGACAGTGGCACTCAGAAGGATGATAGAGACATGGTCAGGGAGCATGATGAGCACCTCCTCCCACACGACCCCACGCTGGACACAGAGGGAAGACAAGTCATGGGCAACTCAGAGGGGGCTGTCCTTCAGCACCTAGGCTTCCACTGGAGCACAAAGCAAGCAGTAAGGCCCTGGATGGTTTGGCTCAGGGCTTAGAGTGTCGGCCCACGATCCAAAGGGTGGTGGGTTCAACTCCCAGTCAAGGGTACATACCTGGGTTGCAGATTCAATCCCCGGCCCTGGATGGGATCGTGCAGGAGGCAACCAATCGATGTGTCTCCCTCACATTGATGTTTCTCTCTCTCTCTCCCTCCCTCCCTCCCTCCTTCCACTGTCTCTAAAATAAATAGAAAAATATCCTCAGGTAAGGATTAACAACAACAAAAAAAGAAAGCAGTAAGGTTTCAAGGTGTGTGGAAGAGGGAGGTGCTGAACTAGTCCCAAAGGAAAAAATTGCTGGGGTCTGGGGTCCCATGGACCTTGTCTCCCTTACCTCAGCATCATTGATATAGTGAACCTCATCAAAGATGACCCACTCCAGATCCCGGATGACATCTGAGCCGCTGTACAGCATGGAGCTGGGAAGAAGAGACCCAAGGCTGACTCCCCAGCGGCTCCTGTCTCTACCAGCCCAGCCAACATGCTCTCCATGCAACCTCACCTTCCTGACCCAAAACCCACCCGTGCTGAGTGTCCATCTCTCACCGAAGGATTTCTGTTGTCATGATGAGGCAAGAGGCCTCTGGGTGCAGCTGTACATCCCCAGTGAGCAGCCCCACGTCCCCGAATGTATTTCGGAAGTCTCGGAACTTCTGGTTACTCAGAGCCTTAATAGGTGAAGTGTAGACGGTGCTGGGAAGAAGGCATGAAGTTAGCCAGTCTCTCCATTCCAACTGTGGTCAGCACCTCCTCTCCCACCCTGAGCCCTGCCAGCAGCATGCCACAGAGCTCAGGTAACCCCCTTTCTTCACCCAAACTGCCCTCATTCTCCTTCGTGACATGACCCCAGAGAAATTCTGTCCCATGACTTCTTCCTGAACTAAATGCATGAAGGTCATTCTCCTAAACTCTCTCCCCAAACCTTCTCATTTTTCTCCGGACCTGTCTCAGTTCTTCCCCCAAATCTCCCACCTAAAAGATGAAGTAAATACATGGAAAGAGAGGAGACTTAGAAAGGATGCAGGAAAAAGCAGGGAAGGCTGATGAAAGGAAAGGCTGTACCGCGTCATGTGCTTCTGGGCAAGGGCAATGGCGTATTCGGCCACAACTGTCTTCCCTGCAGATGTGTGAGCCGCCACAAAGACTGAGTCATGCCGTTCCAAGTGCAGTATGGCCTGTTTCTGGAACACATCAGGCTCAAATGGCCACTGTGGGAGAGAAAAATAGATGAGGGCTAAAAAAGGGAGAGGGGTCTTCCTAGCTCTAGCTCAGGGGGCATGCAGGGCAGTAGGGAGAAGGCCAGAGTAAGGCGAGGCTGGGACTGAGGTCCAAGACTGGCCTGGAAGGCATCTGGTCTCTGGTGACGAGAGGAGACACGGCAGTGGGCTGGGAGGAAGCGGGGGAGCATGTAGGGACTGGCCACGCCACCTGGAAGGCTGGCTGGGGAATGAGGCGGTAGAAATCACCAACGGGGGAGGTGACATCCACAGGAATGGCCCACTGCTCCTGAGGAAGTGGTTTGGGGGCCAGCTCTGAGGGGGATACAATTGTGGATGCTTCCTGGAAAAGTAAGGGGTGGGGTGATAAAGATACAGCCATAAAGCTCTCCATTACCACTCCTCCCAAAGATGCTCCTGTCTTCCCCTTAGGTGCAGCCAAGCCAGCCCACCCTCCTGGTAGCAAGGTCCTTTCTTTCCTGTTTCAACCACCCAGAAGCACCCACCTTCAACACTAGGTCCTCCAAGCTGCTTGCTCGGGCCAAAGGAGCACTGCAGGGAGAGGCTAAAACAATGTCCTCTCTGGTACCTCCTGGCTGTCCCACTGCCTCCCTCTCGTCTTCGTCGCCCCCACCCAAATCCAGGGGCTCTAGCAGACGGCTGAGGCTGAGCAACCCAGCAGCTGGAGCTGGGTGATCTGAGGAGCAAGGCAAAAAAGAAGACCCAGTCACATCCATCTCCGTTCTACAGGAGAAGAGCACCACTTCTCCTACACTCCCATTTCAACACTCACCCTTTGGTGCAAAGTCCACACCTTTCTTGAAGCCAGGTGGAACAGTAAGAAGACCTGGAGGACAGAGACAGAGAGTCGGGACCACTGCACACTACTATTCAAGTCATCCACTACATAAACCTGAAGAATGCTATTCACAGCATAGGTGTTATAGCTGGAGACAGTTGTTGTAATAATTTTCCAACAAATGACAGTAAAAGTTGTTATTTATGGAAAAGGGACCTTTTCCTAATTTGCTCAGAGACATGGAAGAGCTAGCAGCAGCCCAGTGATAGGCCTGGGCCCCTCGTCCTCAGGGCCCAGACTTGGAGCTCTGCCTCCCAAGGGTCCATCCTGGCACCACCTCACCTTTCTCAAAGTCTATATCCTCCTCAGCTTCCTCCCGAGTGCTCACATCTGTTATGGTGGGCTCATCCATTCCCCCTAGAGAGAGGTTGGATACATGAGGATTCATGAGGGGTGATAGGGAACCCTTCCCTAGAGACTGAAGGCTCCCTCCCCTACAATCTCATTTCCACAAGAGTCACCTGGCCAGAAAGGGTACTGTGTTGGATTCCCCCACAGGGACTGGGAGATGGGCCCTGGTGGCCGGCGAAGAGATAAGGAGGTTGTGGCCGACAGGTCTGTATTCTCCAGCAGGACCTGAGGCAAGAGATCAGAACCGAAGTGAGGTTGTACTTGCTTATGGCCCTTTTTCCCACTTTGCTTCTCATGGCCCCTGAGCTCTTACCTCCTTGTAGCCCAGTATCTGGCCCGTGGTTGGGTGTCTTTGGGCTTGTAGGTCGGAGGGGACTGGGGCCCCCAGTACAGCGAGGAGAGACCAGGGATCCATCTTCCTCTGCCATTTTCTGGAGAGAAAGAAGTTATTTTTAAGACTTCTTTCTCCTCTGTCTCAGCTTCCTCCAGGGGCCCATCTCCCTAATCCAGGCCCCTGCAGACCCCTTACCGGGCTGAGTGCTCCAGACCATGCAGAGGCAGCCAGGCTGGAGATGACAGAAACAACTGCTCTGCTTCTTGCTGCAGATCTGGAGCACAGGGAGGGAGGCCGTGGGGAAGCTGGAACAAGGGCAAGGTGAGAGAAAGTGATGGGAGTTGAGTTTAGATCAGAAATGGTAAATGTCCCGGACACACTGGGACAATCAAAGTTAAGCAATATTTTCCAGCGGTTGTAATGCTTTGCAGGACAAACAACCTGCTACTGAATTACCACAGGCGCTGGTTAAAGATAAAGATTTTAGATTTCAGAATCAGGGACTGGACCTAGGAATCTGTATTTTTTAAAAGCTCCCCGACTAATTATGAGACACACTAAAATGTGAGAATCACTAGCTTTAGGAAAAAGGTCCCAGATCTAAAGTTGAAGAGTCGGCTAGCATCTCAGCCACCAAGTGCTTGGAGACAGAAGGGGAGTGCAGCGAGAAAAGACGTTTGAAAGAGCTAAGGTATCCCCAGAGCTCCCTGCTCATCCTCAAAGGGGCTCTGACCCACAGCTGGTCCACTAGGCTGGAGTCCGTCCTGCACCAGGCCGGGCCCAGATGTCAAGTGTCCAGAGAAAAAAGCGGGTCGTGCTATTCTTACCTTTTAAGCTCAATACGAGTCAAAGGTTAGGGTCACAAGTCACTCACTGTGCTTTCTGGAGCCCCAGGCACATTCAGCAGCTCCCAGCGCCCAGTGCATCCCAGCTCCACAGCCCGAAGAGGCAGGTCCAGGGGGTCTAGGGGAGGTAGCACTACGGGAGAATACGGGAGAAGGATCTGAGGTCAGGAGTCAAAGGTAGATGCCTGACTACTGCTTAGTTCCACCCCCTCCCTCTCACCAAGTCGCTCCGTCTCCATCATCTCGGAGCCGCCGCAGCTGCCCCGCAGCCCGGAAGTGCAGCAAAGAGCCGGGGGTAAGCCCCGCCTCCGAAAGGGCGGAAGTGAAGGCGACTTCCGCCACACACCCCTCCGCAGGCGTGCACGAGCGGCTGCCCTGAACCGCGGGAAGGCCGGGCGGAAGTGCCTGCGCCTCCGGCCGCCTTGGTTACGGCGTTTTCCGCCCCCCGCTACGTCATCGCTCCGAGCCGCGGGGCCGCGGGCCCGGGTCGACGCCCCCTCAGGTAAGGGCCTCTGCTTCTCACCCGTCGCCCCTTTCTTCCGAGCCCTTTCTTTCTTCTTTCCTTTTCCGTTGCGCTGAGAGCGCTGCGCGGTTCTACTGCCTCTTCTGCAGCTCGGACCCCGCGGTTGCCATCTGACCCCAGTGGGGAAAAGGGGTTTTGGTGCCATCGTCTTGGCGACGGAGGGGGTGTTCTCCCCGGTCCACGTGGTACCCCTAGGCCCTGGTGTCCGTGGTTCGTAGAGAGGAGCAATGCTGCTTGACCCCGACGAGCGGGGGCTGGGGCGGCAGCCTGGCTTAAGCAAGGGTAGGGAGAGGCGACCCGCGGGAGTGAGCAGGCCCGGAGGGCTGGGGTTGGGCACAAGCACGGCGTGTGCGCCCTGGGCGGTGGCAGTGGAGACAGATGTCTTGGGCCCTGCCCCTGAACCAGGAGCCACCATGTTGGTGATACCCCCCGGACTGAGCGAGGAGGAGGAGGCTCTGCAGAAGAAATTCAACAAACTGAAGAAGAAGGTGAGGGGGTGTGTGTGTGGGCACGGCCCAACCTTTCACAGACTCACTCCGTGAGTGAGGGGATGGAGGGTCCTGCTGTGGGCCGAGAGACCAGCACCGCTCAGCGTGTACCTCGTCTCTTTTCTGTTCGGTTGGCCATCGAGTTAGCTCCCTTTCCCGGGGCTTTTATTACCACCTAAAAGCTGGTGGTGCGCAAGTGTGGTTTTTCCAGTTCCATCTGGTATCTTGTTGGTAACTTTCACCTATTCTAAATAAAGTTATCTTCCTACCTGTTCTAATGTAGTCCCTCTTTATGATCTTCCAAACGTGGACCGATCACATTCAATCTTCCCATGTGTTTGGAATGAAAAAGTTCAGCTCTGCCCTGGCCAGGTAGCTCAGTTGGTTACAGCATCATCCTTATACACTAACGTTGCAGGTTCAGTCCCCAGTCAGGGCACATACAGGAGTCAACCAACAAATGCATAAGTAAGTGGAACAACATATCAGTGTTTCTTTCTCTCTAAAATCAATTTTTAAAAAAATCTCATCTCTGACTTCCATTTGCATAGCCAAATATTTGCCAAGTCTTCTTGATTCTTTTTTTGTTTTTTTATCCTCACCCAAGGACATTTTTCCATATTTTGTTTAGATAGAATGGGAGGGGGAGAGACAGAGAGAAACATCGACATGAAAGGGACACATCGAGTGGCTGCCTCCCGCACAACCCAACCAGGGCCGGGGACAAACTGCAACCGAGGTACATGCCCTTAGCGGGAACCAGACCTGAGTCTCTCTGGACCGCAGGCCAACACTCTAACCGCTGAGCCAAACCGGCCAGGGCTTGATTCTTTCTTGAAAATAATTTCTCCCATTTATTTTTTTCCTGTGTATTCCATATAGATCAGGTCTTTGCTAACATTCACTTAGACTGTTGTAATGGTCTCTAAACAAGTTTCCTATTAGTGTTTTTCTTTTAACAGACTATTTCATTCTTATTAAGATGAGCCGTTGAAAATGCAAGATTCTCTCCTTTTTCTCAAAACCCTTAAGTGGGTTTGTCTATAGAACAAAACCTTAAGTGCATCCCTTTTTAGTAAAACAGAACTATTCACTACTCCCAAAATGCACATTCCCAAAGCTTTCTTATCTCTGCATTTTTTCACTAGTTTCTTTTTTTTGAATTGCCCTTTTTCTCAGTCTTTGTTGTGCAGATTATACCCAGGGTCCAGTTTAAAGGCCATTTGACATCAGAAAATTTTACTTGCTCTCAAGCAATTTGCATCTCATAAACATTCTTGGCAATTTAGTCTAGTCATTTTATTTCTCGGATTGTAAGTTTGCGGGGAAGGAGCTGTGTCTCGTACTTTTGCACACCCCTGTTGTAAAGTAATGAATGGCATGTTCTTGTTAAATATATAGGGGATGGATGGATGAAGCCCCCAAGAAAGGCACATAGGCTTGTCCTTACTTAGAGCTTATAATCTGGGGCTCTGGTTCATGATTGAATTCTTTGTCTTCACTTTCAAAAATATGAAACTCTGGAAAGCCTCTAGATCCCATGGTTTGGATAACGTAGGCGTCACTGGCACTGGAGATGGTCTGGGGGACCCTATGTAAGAGGCAGGGCTGCCTCGATGAACCACTCCAGGAACACCACCCATATTGCTTTCTCTGAGAAAGGATGCACCCAAGGGCCTTGGGAAATGATCTGGTCAGGGACTGGCCCTCACCAACCCATCTTGTCTAATTCTTGTTCCCAGAAAAAGGCACTGCTGGCTCTGAAGAAGCAAAGTAGCAGCAGCACAGCCAGCCAAGGCGGTGTCAAACGCTGTGAGTGACAGGAAACAGGGCTAGATTGGAAATGGGGAGCACGGGGCTGACCTTTCTCACACCTGGCCAACATAACACCTTTTCGTCACCACCCCAGCACTGTCGGAGCAGCCTGTGGTGGACACAGCCACCGCAACAGAGCAGGCCAAGCAGCTGGTGAAGTCGGGAGCCATCAGTGCCATCAAGGCCGAGACAAAGAACTCAGGCTTCAAACGTTCACGAACCCTAGAGGGGAAGTTAAAAGTAAGTACAAGCAGAAAGGTCATTCAGGGAACACCTGACTTCAGAGGGCATCCCTCCAAGTTGGGATGGAGGTAGGTTTAGGGAAAAGTAATGTCTGTTCAATCATGGGCAAATTGTCTACCACTCTGAGCTTCGGGTTGCTTATCTGAAAAGGAAGGAATGGCTGACTCCTGAATTTTCCATTCTGCACAGCCTGTGGCTGCAGTCCACATGTTAGCACTCTTGGATTGTGTTGTTCGCAGGAGATGAACAGGCTGAAATGTCAACAGGTTCAGGAAATGTTTAGATACATAAAATACTTTAAGGGTACGTTACAGTCATTTATTTTAAAATATCACATAATCAAATAGAAAAGTACAAGAGAATTAAAAGAAGAAAGATAGGCCAGTGGAAGCCGAGAAGAGAGTGAGGAAGAGGAATCCCCTCTGTCCTGTGGTTAGGCAGCCTCCTGCTCCCACACTGAGGTAGGTCTCTACCACCTTCCAGGACCCTGAGAAGGGGCCAGTCCCCACTTTCCAACCTTTCCAAAGGAGCATATCTGCCGAAGACGATCTGCAGGAGGTAAAGGTTCCTAGTCCTCTGTCCCTGAGGGACCCACATGCCAGCAACTAGGAATCCTCTTAACTGAAACTTGATCTTTCTTTCAGTCATCCAGACGTCCCCAAAGGAAATCTCTGTATGAGAGGTCAGCAAGTTAGAGATAGGACTGGGTCCCAGTAGGTAGAGGTGGGGGGCTGCCTGGTCCTTGGGAGGTATGGGGCTGGAGTGGAAGGGGCTGGGGATGCAGAGAGAGTGTTGAGTCTGCAGGGTCTAGGAAGACAAGTAAAGGCCCGCTTTGATCCTCACTGTCTGCGCACCCCTAGCTTTGTGTCTTCCAGTGACCGGCTTCGGGAACTAGGGCCAGATGGAGAAGAGGCAGAAGGCCCTGGGGCTGGTGATGGCCCCCCTCGAAGCTTTGACTGGGGCTATGAGGAACATGGTGGCGGCCGCTCCTCAGTCTCCCCTCCCCGAAGCCGGGACCGCAGTCGTGAACGGAACCGGGACAGAGACCGGGATCGGGACCGGGAACGGGACCGAGACCGGGATCGGGACCGGGAACGGGACCGAGACCGAGATCGGGACCGGGATCGGGACCGGGACCGGGAATGGGACCGAGATCGAGACCAGGACCGAGATCGAGACCGGGAGCGAGACAGAGACCGGGAGCGGGACAGAGACCGGTACCGGGAGCGAGAAGGCCCTTTCCGCAGTGAGTGGGCTTGGCTGGTAGGAAATCCTCAGATGGGATTTAGGTGGCTCCAACTAGAGGAGCCTCTTAACGTGGAGGGTGACAGAGGTACGTCTTGTGATCCCACAGGATCAGACTCGTTCCCTGAACGCCGGGCCCCTCGGAAGGGGAATACTCTCTATGTGTATGGGGAAGACATGACGCCCACCCTCCTTCGTGGGGCCTTCTCTCCCTTTGGAAACATAATTGACCTCTCCATGGACCCACCCAGAAAGTAAGGGTGACGTGGGGCAAAATGATAAGTCTTGGGAGGAACGGGTGTGCGGCCTGGGGGAGGAGGCCAGCGTGACTCCAGTAGTCTGTAAGCGCTGGGTTTGGCTCGGTTCAGAAGAGCCCGTAATCCTTCTGTTGACCCTGTTTTCTCATCCTAGCTGTGCCTTCGTCACCTATGAAAAGATGGAGTCAGCAGATCAGGCCGTTGCTGAGGTTGGGACTTCCCAGATCTGTTCCTCCCACTCCTGCCATCCTGTTTTCTCTAAGTCCTGGGAGCCAGGGGGAAGTCTTGGCAGAGAGAGTCACTCCCTGCTCACACAGGAAACCTTATATTCTTAGGTCCCCGCTCAGTCCACTCCAAGGATGGCAGCTCGTGGCGATCCTCCTTTGGTCTGTCTGTAACGTTTCCCCATTTTCTGCCCCAGCTCAACGGGACCCAGGTAGAGTCCGTGCAGCTCAAAGTTAGCATTGCTCGCAAACAGCCCATGCTGGACGCCGCCACGGGCAAGTCTGTCTGGGGCTCTCTTGGTAAGAAAAAGATTCTTCCTCCCTCGTCCTGTCCTGCACTGCTCCCCTTTCTTTTTGTTCCCCTGCATGTCCCTGGGTTCCCTAGAGGTCTGGATTTGTGGGAAGCTGTGGGAATGGGAAGGAGAGTGGTCAGGCCCTCTGTCGGAAGTAGGAGAAAGAGAAGAGAAAATGTTTGAAAACAACTTCCAATAACTGGAACAGGGAGGAAGTGGAAGCAGGTCAGGTTCGTGAGAAAGATGAGCTTCTCGTGTGGCTTTGTTCATCTGGAGATGACATATAGTTGGTTTTATAAAGCAAGCATTTGGAATAGGGACCTGGAACCCGGGCGTGAGGTGAGAAATGAAAACATAGATTAGTCATCTGTGTCTCAGGGTGGCTGTAAAACAATGGTATCATTGGGGAAGCCGACCTTGGAGAAAAAATTGACCCAGGACTGGGCTTGGGGAATATTCAGGGAATATGGTAGGAAGCAGGCCTCTGTTCCTTGTATCCCAGCCCTCCTGATGTGTTAGGCTGAAGTTGATGCAGCAAAGGAGACAGGAGGGGTCAGGACTGGGAGCTGCACCGGGGGGCCTGGGCCATTGAACCAGAGGACACCAGCTTTGAGAAGAGGGTGAGATCAGCAGTGTCAGGGTACAGAGAGCCAGAGAGTGGGAGCTGGTGTGGGGGGTTCACTCTAGCCCCAGAGTGTCAGGGATGGACTTCTTGGAGATGGGGTGAGGAGAGGGACATGCTGGGTACAGAGGGGAAAGAGGAAGGGGAAGGAGAGCTGGAGGCTCAGGGCAGAATGCTCAGAGCCAAAGCTAGCCCTGGAGTGAGTTTTCATGGGAAGAGTAGCATTTCTCAGTGTGAATAACCCATTTTAGCTGAAATAGTTTTTTCGGCAAAGGAGTGGGCAGAACAAGGGGCTCAGAGCAAGAGTGGCCTTCCAGGTACAAGGAAAGACCTACATGTCAACAAAGGGCTATGGAGATTTTCTGACTTTTAATTTTTGATGTACTGACTCAAAGCAGTAGGTAAGCATCATTCATATTATGTCAGCTATAACATTTGGGATTTTGCTAAAAACCAAACATTTGTTTCAGTATCCCCATGTGTCAGGATAGCAGCATACCTCTCACTCCTTGCCCAGGTGATGGTTTGGCAGGCACTGGCCTGAGGGGCTGAAGAGACACAGGCCATCCCGTCCACCAGAGGGCAGCGTAGAAACTGGCCCGACTGTGGGCCTGGGCTCTCACCAATACTCTCCTTCAGGCGTTAACTAATCCTTTCCTCCCTCCCTAGCTGTCCAGAACAGTCCTAAGGGTTGTCACCGGGACAAAAGGACCGAGATTGTCTACAGTGATGATTACAATGAAAACCTTGTGGATGGCTTCTAGGTTGCAGAGCTGGATTTCTTGTGCCTCGTCTGCCCCAACACTGGTCTCAGTAAAACACTGAGGTGGAAGCTCACACATCTCCCTCAGCCTCTGGTTTTTCAGCACTTGGGATTGAGTTGAGCCTTTAAAAACGGCTGTTGGGCTCCATCTCATTTGTGACAAGGTGGCAGTGTGCACCCCCCCCCCACTCCCTTACACAAAAGGAGCTCGAACACAGCTATTGTCGCAGCTGTTTTAATTTGATCTCATGCCCCTTTCCAGCAAGAAACCCCCTTAGAGAAAACCCAGATCCTCATCTTGGAGTTTGTCCTTGAGCCAGGGTAGCACTTGGAAGAGGTTGATGTGAAAGTCTCGGGCGTGAGCAGGTATCTGGTGCTTCGGCCCGTTCTTGCAGACGTCCACTACACCCCAGCTGATCACACCAACCTGGAGAGGGAGAGGCGTCATGGGTCATGTCGTAGAATTCCTTCCTCTTCCCAGGAAACAAGTGCTGCTGAGTGCCTCTGCACTGACCTAGAACTAGACTGGGACCCAGCTCGGTCTTGTCCTCCGCACCACCCGCGCCAGACACGTGGTCCTGAGCCAGCCAGTTCAGGGAAAGGTTCTGAGGTGAAGCAGGCTCTGCTCTCCCCTGTCTAGCCACATCTGTTGACCTTTCTTGCTTTGGTATCTCCCCACAGTTAGGAAAGGGGAGACTTACTTGAATGAAGCGACTCCTCTTGTGAATAATCAGGGGACCACCAGAATCACCTGTAGGGAGGAGAAGCTGTAGGGAAACTTAGGCCCCAGGAACTTGCAGCTCTACGAAAGAGCTTTTTCTCACCTTTGCAAGTGTTGGGGTCAGCGTAGGGATTCACGCCTCCAGTGCAAAGGAACCTGGGGGTGACCACCTCAGAGATGTCCTTGACTTTATCATAGCCGGGGGCCTTTCGAGCATCCCTCTCACACGCGGCTTTCTATAGGTGAGGTGGGAAGCATGGAAAGAGGGGTGAACGAGGCCTGCAGACGGGGAAGAGGGGCTGAGGACCTCCTGGGGCTGCCACATTTCTCACCTTGTCCCCATTCTTGATGTAGACCTCCTTCCGAACTAGCTTTTTATCCTTGACCAGCTCAGACACAAACAGAGCTTTGATGTCCTTCGCAGGGAGCAGCTCTTCCACTGGGCAGACGGACGGGGAGGGTCATTTCACGCTCCCTCCCCACCGTCTCAGCAGGTGTCCTCCAGCCCTCCCTGCGAGATGGCTCAGGCCCCACTTGTCTCTGGGACTCTCGCCCTAGTGCTCCTCTCCCAGAACATGTCTTACTCTGTTGTTGGCAAGTGGTTGACAGTGGGAGCCTCAAAGCTTGATTTGTCCCCTCAGTGCAAGGGAGACAGATGGGCCTGTTACGGAGAGATGGGGAAACAGGAATGGCCCACTGCACTGCCCCGTCCTCTACCCCCACCTGCAGGCTTTGCTCAGGGAGCCAGGTGTCTGACCTGAGAGTGTCGCTGTATGTCAGCTTCTTCTGGAGCTTGATCAGGGCCACATCATAGTCGTAAAATTCAGGAATTCCTTCTGCTTTTTTCCCATTGATGTTGTACTTGGGGTGAGTTAGGAAGTATTCCACGTCCAAGTTCTTCATCCCTCCTAAGTTCAGAGGAGAGTTGGTACCTCAGGACCACCCACTTCTCTGTGGGCAGCCTCCTTCCTCTGGCCCCACTTCATCCCTGACTGGTTCCGTGTAGGGAGGAAGGGGCTATGTTGAAGGTGAGTGGACTGAGCTCTTCAAGTGGGAGGAGTTAGCCAGAGGGCGAGCTCAGAATTGATTCATTGTGTCATCCTTACCCACGTCGACCTTGATTGAGTGTGCCTGGTCCTCCAGTGTGAAACAGTGTGCTGCGGTCAGCACAAAGTAATTGGACACCACAGCCCCCATGCATCTCTCGAACCCCTTTGGAGGGCGCTGGGGACAATGGCAGAGAGGGAACTGGGCTTTCACAAACATCACAGTCTAACATGAACACCGCCCTTGCCCTACCCCCATTTCACCCTGACTTCACCCCACAAGTCCCTACCACCAGGACGTCATGCTTACAGGGACTGAGATCTTGGCCTGCCATGGTTGTTTGTGGTAGTCAGTACCTTTCTTGTGTTCCCAAGTCATGCCACACAGACCCAGAGCCCGGGATTCATCTGGCAAGAAAAGAAAATGTGCTAGAAGGTAGAATGCTTCACCCCAAATAGCACCTTTTGGAGACAGACACCTATACATCCATGGGGAGCCAAGGCCCTTTAGGAGAAAAGAAAGGCAGGGGCATTTGTCTACTTATGTTGGAAGACAAGAAGTCACTGGCACAGTGAAAAGAATTTGAGACTAAGAGATCAGAAATGGCTGGTTTCAGACCCAACTCTTGCGAGCTTGCTGACCCTTGACATTTCTTGGCCTCAACTCCCACATCTGTAAACAAGGAACTTGAGAAAGATCTCTGATGTCATTGGGAGCTCTGTGGTTCTAAGATCAGGAAGTGGACAGTGCCAGGAAACAATGACACTACAGTAGAAGGAAAGAGAGGCCTTCCAGACTGTCAGGGCTTTGGGAGGAGAGGAAAGATGAATGACTTTGGGGACTCAGGGAGAGCTGTTTGCTGACCATCTTACACCCTTCTGATATCTTCCTACCAAGCATATGCATGAAAACATTCTCCAGGTCTTCCATGTCCTTGACTTTGAACACATGTTTCTCTTTATCTTTCTTGGAAGCCAAAGCATTGATGTTGTCTTCTTTCACCATAGGCCCAACCCCAAACACATAGATGTCTGAGGGAGAAAAGGAGGGTGAGGGTCCAGGCCCTGGGGGAGCAGGGGCTGAGAAAGCAAGGCGTTGGGCCCTGGGCAATGAAACTCACCCAGATAGTCTTCCCTTGGGTTTTTGCGATCCCTACCAATATCCAGCAAGGCCCGAATGTCATGAACGACAGACACTGGGTCTCCACCCATGTTGTGTAAGCCTACAAGAGAGACACTGAGGGTGGGAGGCAAGCAAGAGGGTCAAGGACTACAAACTGGCTAGAAATAGTGACACGTGGCTGGGTGAGTAGGTTGGGAAGGGGATGGAAGTGACATCACGGAGAGCCCCTCCTTGTGAAGTGTCACAGAAAAGAACATGGTTAAGGCCCATTGCTGCTCAGGGCCCCGACAATTCAGTTACATGTGGATGAAGGGCCACACACTGGTGGGGATGGGGTGGACGGGAAAGGGCCCTCTGACCATCAGTCATCAGAATGATGACATGGCGGGTGCGGTTCCAGCCCTCAGGGGGGGTGTTCCCTGCCCAGCTCATCATGTTGTAAACCGCCAGGAGGGCCTTCTTGGTGTTAGTGCCAGTCTTCAACTTGTGATCTGAGGGAAGGAAACAGATCATCACCTCACTGGTCTTCCAAGCCATCCTTGAACCCCAGAGGCCTGTCAGCAACAGATCCCACGTTTTCTGACTTTTTTTTTTTTTTTGCTACGTGCCCCTGGCAGGAACCGAACACGGGACTCTCTGGTCCACAGGCCGACGCTCCAACCGCTGAGCCAAACCAGCCAGGGCTTTTCAACTTTTTTAGTTGTCACCCCACTGACTTCCCTTTGACTGCAAAGTGACCCTCTCAGCCCCTGACAGGTTCCCACCAACCTCTGTTCCCCATTGACCCTGCTGTCTAACCATGCACTACAAAGTGGTCCTCCCGCCCTCCATGTGGTCTTGCAACATCCCTGAAACGACCTCTCTGACTGCAAAGTGAACTTCCCACCACTCCCATCCCTGACTTCTGACCTTCATAGTTGATTTTGTTGAGCTGCTCTGTGACCCAGGCTGCATTGCTGCTCTCTGCTTGGGACACTTTGATCAAAACGTTGGTGTCTGTGGCATATGTCACTAGACCATATTTTGGCTTTACCCCATAACTTGCCACCTGGGGGAAGCAAAGAGTAATGGCATTGCAAGTAGAATACTTTGCTGGGACAGGAAAGATCATGGTAGGAGGGCTGACTGGCCACTCTTGTTCACAGGGGAGACTTGGTTAAAGGTTCAAATCAAGGGGAAGGAGGACAGAATAGGACCTGAGGCTTTTCTGGAACCCTGTGGCTCAGAGGGACTGGGAGCACCAGGAAGCTAATCCTGTCAGGGCAGTGAGATCCATGCTGGGTCTCCACATTTAAGGAGAGGGGGCCCACCTTCTCAATGAAGGCTTTGAGGCAGTTCTTGGCTCCCGTGAAATTGTGCTCCCCAACGCTGTCTGATCCATCCAGCACCAGGTAGATGTTCATGGAGCCCGAGGGGTCCAGGACAATCTTCCTCTTCTGTTGTTCCCCTGGTGCCACCAGAGACACTCAGGCTCCAGCATGCATGGTTCTCCTGCCCTCCTCCCAATTCCCTGCCCCACCTCCCGCTCTGCCTTCAAACCTGGGGTGTGCCCATCCTCAGCATCGACTCCTTCTATAGTCTCTGTCAGGGAAGACAGGAAGGCTTCGGCCACCTCCCCAGGGGTATCGTACATGAAAGAGTCTAGGAGAGGTCAGAAATCAGATCAAATGTCTGGGAGGTTCAGGGTCACAGTGACCAGAAAGACGGGATGGTGGTTTTCCAGAGTGAGAAGGACTCAGAAGGAATTTCTACAGGGAGGTTTAGAAGTGAAAGGGCTGGGTGGGGAGAGGGGAAGAAGACTTGTGCCCTGGTTTGGGGACTTGAGGATGAGAGAGCAAGACCTGACCTGCGGGCTTGGGTCAAGGGTCACCTTGGCAAGAAGGCTCCGTTCCACTCCAAGAGCCACCTTCCTGGCACGTTCGCTGCTGGGAGCCACGCAGGGTGAGTCCCCGGCTGCAGTGGTAGGTGACACTGTCTTCAAGGCGGTACTGGGTGCCCACCTTCCTTGTGCCAATGGGGATGCCTGGGTTGGGGCAGTACCCCGCTGCAGAGGCACGAGGCAAGAAGGTGAGGGCGAAAGCCAGAGGCCCCGAGGAAAAGCCAGAGCCAGGAGCTATGGTGCCAGTTCCTCAGGCTCCAGCATGGCCAGGGACAGGCTACCATCTTGGGGGAAGGCGATGCTTCTCACCTCCGTTGTCACAGATTGCCGTTTGCCCATCCCACCGACCAGTCACTTGGCAGCTGCGGTTGGCAGAGCCCCGGAGAGTGTAACCATCGTAACAGTGGAAAGAGATCTCATCACTCAGATTGTAGTAGGGGGCCCGGGGCCAGTACTCCCCATTCTCAAAGTTCTGTGGTCTTGGGCAACGAATTGCTTTGGGAAAGAGGGACAGGCAGAAGTTACTGAGAGGGAAAAGCTATCTTTTAGAGTATCCCTCCTGGTCTCAAGGTCCCTGTCACAGAAAAAGTACCTTCTCGGTCCCACAGGGGCAGCGTCTACCCTCGACCCCTGGAGGGTCCCTCAACCCATGGGCAGTCCACTGCTCCTCTCCCATTCCTGGTCCTGGGTAGATGGTGAGCAAAGGCTGGCTCTCCGTCCTCCCTCCGTCCTCCTGCCTACCTCAACCCCAAACAGCTCCTACACTTGCTCAGCCCACCTTGTCAGCCTGCCTGGTCTCAATACACTCTAATCTCATGCTAGTGTGGACCTCAACCGCCACCTGCTCCGACCTGCTGGCCCATGCCCACCGTCACTGCCCACTAACCTCTGCATTCTGCCTTCTTGACGGTTTTTTGGTCTCCGGTCTGCAGGGTGCTCCAGGACCCTGTGGATCTGCAGGTGCGAACCTGCACAGGGTACGGGTAGAAGCCAGAGGGGCAAATGTACTCCAATGCCTGGCCATCCCTGAGCAGCCGGAAGGAGCCACCTTTGATCTCTACTCCCTGCAGAGAGCAGGAGCTTTGGGGCTCAGCCACAGGCAATGGCGACGTGCTCACACCTAAGAAGACAGGCTGATGAAGGCCAAGGAGAGATGGGGGGGGGGTAGCAAGAGCGGGGCCAGTGACCCTAGCTTACCTCCAGACAAGAGGCCCAGGACCAAGGGTATGAGGCAGAGCCAGGGCCTGGGATTGCTCCATGTGGCCATGGAAGGCAGGAGAGAGACTAGGGCTGGAGGTAGGACGACCTTTCCCAGCTTGTTCTGCATGTCCGTCTGCTGTGTCCAAGCTGAACCTGCAGACCTTCCCCTGCCCCCCAACAACCTCCAGCCTTTTATGCAATCGAAGGGCTGGCACCTGCGCTCACCCTGCCTGCCCTGCCCACATCACTTTCCGGAATTCCAAGAGGGAGGGCCCCACTGTGCTGCCTGTCAAGGAAACTGCACAAGACTCACCCTTTGCTGCCCAGGGTCCAGGACTCTCCCCTTCAACAGCCCCTCTCAGCCACAGTTCCTCCCCAGAGACCCCCGACTGCCCCCTTAGGGACCAGAAATAAGGCCCCAGCCGACTCCCCTGTTGGCTGGTATGGAGCAGAGTCCCTGTTTGTCCAGCAGGGTCTCTGACCTGCCTCCTGCGGTTCCTGGAATCACTCCTGCCTTCCCCACCCCCCAAGCAGAGGCACAGACAGATGTGGAAATCACTGATTTTTATTAATTTCACAACTGGGAAGTTCCACGTGAAAGTGAAAGGAGAGTGAGTTCCGAAAAGCCGAGGGGGAGCTGGGCTCCTTCAGGGCGAGGCGTGTGGACGGTCACAGGGTCTGAGGCAGGACTTCAGAGGGGGAGCATGGCAGCAATGGCAGGGCCTGCAGGGCAGCCCAGGGTCAGTGGGCATAATTAAAGGGGCAAAAAGGTCAAGACACCCTCCAGGTGCTGCCTCAGCCAGGGCTGCAGGCGGAAGAGACTGAGGTGGAAATCCCGAGCGACCTTGCCGCTGGGGGTTCTCCTGCGGGGTTTTTCCTCAGATCTGCTGCAGGGGTTGTAGAGACCCCAGCTCACCAGGCCCACCTGGAAGAAAGAATGAGACAGGAGGCAGCCTCAGCCCCAGGTCCAAGCCCCAGCCTCCCTTGTCACCCCGCAGGCCAAGATCCTATAACCACAGTCCTGCGAGCTTCTCCCTTCTCTCCTCACCTGAAAAAACCGGAATCTCCGCTCAAGGAAAACTGCTCCCCCAGACTCTCCTGCAGAGACGAGGCATAGGAGACTGTCGTCCTGACTCTCGCCTTGCTCCCCACACTCCGCCACGCACACTAGCCTCCCCTCAAGAATCCAAGCTCCGGGGTGGGGGGTGGGAGCCACTCACCCTTGCAGGGATTGTCATCATTGTCCATCCCACTGCACAGGAACTGGTCTGTCACCACCTCTCTGACATCTGTCAAGTTGGGGAATGTGGTTTTGTCTTGGGAGACGACCTCAGTACATCTTGCCCACTACAGCAGGAGTATAAAGAAGGTGGAATGAGCAGGCCCAGGGTTACCTGAAAGTCCAGCTAGACCTGGGGTGAGGAGGGGTCAGATGGAGAAAGCAGCCAGAGCTGGGGGAGACAGAAGCATTATGGGTGATGCCCAGGGGAACCCCATCCCCCGACAGCATCCCAGACCTGATACCCTCACCTCCGTCCCTGTCTTGAGGTTAATGTTCAGTTTGTCCCCATTAAAGGCCACAAAGTGAGCAGGAACGCTCAGTTTGTTCAGAAGTTCGCTCTCTGCAGTCAAGGAGAAGGGGAGGTTCGTGCTGATCCCTTAACCCAGCATCCAGTCTTCTGACTTGGGGGCTGGAGCACAGCCCCTGTCATTACCCCCACGCCCTGGTCCCAGCTCCTCACACACCTGAAGCCCCAGCACTCACCGTGGTCTCGGCAGGTGCTGCCTGGGGGTCTCCGCAGAGCCAGATTGGCTCCTACTGTGCAGGGAAGGCAGATGGGCCTGGGGAGAATGGTAGAGGTCACACAGGCCTGTCCTTGGTGCCCCCTCCTCCCAGGGCTGCCAGAGTGCTCTACCACCAATGCCGGCACCTGGCATGGGTGGACATCTTCACTCTCTGGGCCAGCTTCAGCAGGGCAATGTCATCACCATAGAACTCCGGGATGCCTCGGTGCTTCTTGGCATGGACATCAAAGCTGGCGGAGATCACTGCCTTCTCAACCTCAAACTCTTTGCCCAAATGGGATTGGGGGTCCCCTGGGAACAACATGGCAGATGAGGCTGGGCCAGGATTCCTGAAGGGGCAGAGGCTAGGGACAAGGGGTGGGAGCTCTAGCCGTGGGGTCGGGAGCCTGTGGGGGCCCTGCCTTACCCACAGTGACCCTCCACAGGGAATAGTCCTTGTCCGCGTGGTGGAAGCAGTGAGCAGCTGTCAGGACCCACTGGTCTGAGATGAGGGCCCCCCGGCAGGTGTCCCGGCTCTTGGGCTGCAAGGGAACAGGTGATCTTCAGGGACTGTGGTTTTCTGCCTCAGGGCCGCTTTCACCTCTAGGATCCAAGCCCATCCCTCCTTCCCGGTACCTTGATAGTGACATGCCAGGGTGTCCTCTCCTGGACAGAGGCATTAGCTGACATGTTCCCCACCCCACATATGGTGTCTACGAGCTGGGAGACATCTGTGGGTGTGAGGAATAGATGGGGAAGGAGGCAGGTCAGGGGCACGAGCCCTGGCTGGCTCCTCACCGGGAGGGCAAACAAAGCTCACTCACCCAGCATGTGCTCAAAGACCTGGTACAGAGCCTTCGTGTCCTGCAGAATGAAGGCATGCCTCTCGCCATCCTTCTTGGACCCCAGCTCATTCAGTTCTCTCCAGTCCACATCCAGCTTGCCCACCCCAATGGCATAGATGTCTGATGGAGAGAAGGAAATCACCAGAATCTTGTGGCTGGGGACTACCCGCGAGACAGGAGGCTGTATTTAGAGTTCACTGTATTTAAAGCCCTACATGAATCCTGGCCGGTTTGCTCAGCAGTTAGAGAGTCAGCCTGCGGTCCAGAGAGACCCGGTTCGGTTCCCGCTAAGGGCACGTACCTCGGTTGCAGTTTGTCCCCGGCCCTTGTTGGTCGTGCGGGTGGCAGCCACTCGATGTGTCCCTTTCACATCGATGTTTCTCTCTTTTCCTCTCTCTCCCTCCTACTCTATCTGAACAAAAAATGTCCTCGGGTGAGGATAAAAAAAATAATAATAAAATAAAGCTCTTCATGAGCCCCACCTCCACCCCATACCATCTGACTTTGTTTTCTCCCACTGCTCACCCCTTGCTCTCTTCCAGGCACACAGCCTCCGTGAAGCTCCCCAATCCGTGGGCACGCTCTGCCTCGTCCGCTCCTCCCCAGTCCCCACATGGCTCACTTTCTTACCGTTTTAAGTCTCGACTCAAACATCACTATCTCAGCACGCTCTTCCCTGGCCTCGTTGTCTGAAACCACAGTGCCCCAAACACCTCCATTTCCGGCCTGCTTCGTTTCCACTTTCATATATGTCACGACCCGCTGCGCCACGGATTCCTCATGCCTTTTGTTTAATGCCCACAGCGGGTAGAACTGTGTCCCCCAAAAGGATGTGTGCAAATCCTAACCCCTGGTACCTGTGAATGTGACCTTATTTGTTTGTTTTTGGTACATTCCCCTAGAGGGAACTGAAGCCGGGTCTCTCTGGTCCACAGACCGACGCTCCAACTGCTGAGCCACACGGGCCAGGGCAAACGTGACCTTATTTGGAAATAGGGTCTTTACAGATGTGACCGAGTTAAGGTGAGGTCACACTGGATCAGAGTGGACCCTGATCTGCTGTCTGCTGTCCTCACCACAGGGAGGACGCTACATGGCGACACAGGGATGATCTGCAGGAGGAGGGCGTGAAGACAGAGGCAGAGACCGGCTTGTCCTGCCACGAGCCAAGGGCGCTGGGCGGCCAGAGCTGGGAGAGAGAGGAAGGGTCCTTCCCAGAGCCTCCAGAAGGAGCACAGCTCTGCAGACACCTTGGTTTTGGACTTCTAGCCTCTTGAACGAGAGAGAATGAATTTTGGTTGTTTTAAGCCACCCAAGTTTGCATAATTTGTTGCACCAGCCCTTGCAGACTGATACAGAGGGACATCCCCATGGAGCAGGCACTGCTGTCTGTTTGGTTCACAGCTCTGTCTTAGCCTGGTGCCTAGCCCAGGACCCCCAGAAGTACTTTAAAATGACTGAATAAATAAGAACTCATGAATGTAGCATGGAGGCAAAAGTTTGGACCTGGTCTTCCTCTGTAAAATGTAGGCTCTGGGAGAGGGGCCTGGAGAACCGGCCCACACAACCATCCAGGCCCATCCAGGCACCGCCTCTGGGTGAGCGTGGGTGCCAGTCAGAACTGCCCTATGGTGGCCGGAATCCGGCCTCCTCCCGCCCTTTGCACCCCTCTGGCCCTGCTTTGCTGTCAGAGGCCCACTGCACGTAAGGGGTAAGGGGTGAGGTGCTCAGCCAGCCCGTGGGAGGCGGCTCCCTCAGGCAGCAACCTATCACGCCCTTGCTGTTCTCTTTGACTGTGTCCCTTCCGTTCCGCTTCTTTTTCTTTCTTTCTTTTATTGATTTTTAGAGAGAAAGGAAGGGGGAGAGAGAGACAGAAACATCAATGAGAGAGAACATCGACTGGCCGCCTCCTGCATGCTCCCCACTGGGGATCAGGCCCACAACCTGGGCATGTGCCCTGACCAGGAATTGAACCAGTGACCTCTTGGTGCAGGGTCGATGCTCAACCACTGAGCCACACTGGCTGGGCTGTTTCTGCTTCTTTTTTTTTTTTTTTTTTTTTATCCTCACCCAAGGACATTTTTCCATTTTTTGTTCAGGTAGAGTGGGAGGGAGAGAGAGGAAGAGAGAGAGAGGGAAACATCGATGTGAAAGGGACACATCGAGTGGCTGCCACCCGCACGACCAACCAGGGCCGGGGACAAACTGCAACCGAGGTACGTGCCCTTAGCGGGAACCGAACCCAGGTCTCTCAGGACCACAGGCCGATGCTCTAACCGCTGAGCCAAACCGGCCAGGGCCTGTTTCTGCTTCTTTTTAATAAAGTGTTTTTGAGCATTTCAACCTGGCCCAATGATGCTAAGGAGTGAGGGTGTGGGGTTTGGGCTCTGCATTTTCTGGGCCCAAGTTTTACAGAAGAATCTGCTTTCCACGGATGGTGGGGTGGGGCAGTCAACCCTGGGGCTGGAGACCAGCTGCCTTCCCTTATCTGGAGCGCTTTTCTCTGAAGTTCTTTTTTGGTCGAAGGTCAGCGCATTTGCATTCAGTCCGAACCTGAGGAACCATTCCTTTGGAGTTTGCAGCTGCCAACGCTTCAGTTACTTATCTGTGCTGTTCCAGGGAAAGTGCGGGGACAGTCCCTGCAGCACCCAGTGCTTTCCTCCTGGGGGGCGTCACGAACACAAAATGGTGGACGGAGGGGTGTGACGGGAAAGATGACGGCTGCTAGCACACCCTGTGCTTCTCTGAACCAGGCAAGGTCTGAGCACTTGGCCCTCGCGGCCTACGAGGCCCCCTTACAGTGAGGGAACTACTCACAGCACAGCCCACGGAGGATGAAGGCGTGGCAGTGTGAGTCCAGGCTCTGCGACCTGACAGAGTGACACCGCAGGGCGGCCGTTCTCCAAGGAAAGAAAGCCAAGGTGCTGGAACCCTGGCTACGGGCCTTGCGCCCCTGCAGGGGCATACAGATGGGGGGGGGTGGAGGCTCACCCAGGTAGTCATTCCTCGTCTGGTTGATGTTCAAGATTTCTTTGATATTGTCCACAGCTGGCTTGGGAGAGCCCCCCATGTTGGACTTTCCTAGAACAGAGGGAAAAGAATTGTTCATCTGGGTGGATATATCAGGATTCCTCACAGCACGGAGGACTAGGGAGGTATTCATCCCAAGAACCTCAACACCTACACTTCCTGTCTGAGTTTTACTAAAATTCTCTGTATTTCAGGCACTAGGCCAGGAGTTTCATTTACTTTATCTCATTTAATTCTCATGAAACCCAGGAAGCGTGCGTATCCTCATTCTACAGACAAGAACACAGTTCTGAAGGGCGACGCAATGTGGACAAAACCAAGAGCTCAATGACGGCCGAATCCACTGCGCGTTGCCCCTCCACCTTTTACACAAACTGCTGAAATGTCCCTCCATACACTTGTGTAAGGAAAGGAAAGCAGCTATTATTTTCATCATTGTTTCCATCATTGCCTTCAACACTATTTCTATTGTTAACACTATTTCTACTTTAAAAGTAAGACATGGAGGCCCAGAGTGCCAGGGAACACCAAGATGCAGGTGTCCCAACCCCACCGCGACGCCCCTCCCACTGTGCCGGCCCCAGTCAGAGACGGACACTCACCATCAGTCAGGAGGAGGATGGCGTGCCGGATGCCGTTCCAGGTCGTCATGCTCATGCCCCGCTGTTGCATTTGGTTATTCATCATGATATAGACACTGTTTAGGGCCTCATAGATGTTGGTCCCTGTTCCATTTTCATGGTCTGGAATATGTAAAGAGGAAGGGAGGAGGGAGTCACTAATTCCCCAACCACTGGAAGTGAAATTACCAACTGGCTGGATAGACTCAGACCTTGGATATCCAGGTAGAGATTTGGCATCATTGCCTGTTCAGGCATTAAAAGCCATTCGTCGCCCTGGCCAGTGTTCTCGGTGGTTAGAGCACCAGCCCATGGACCAAACTGTCGCAGGTTTGATTCCCAGTCAAGGGCATGTACCAGTCAAGGGTTACAGGTTCAATCCCCACCCCACCCCCGGTTGGAGCACATGCAGGAGGCAACCAATCGCTATGTCTCTCTCATATCAATGTTTCTCTCCCTCCCCACTCTCCTCCCTTCCACTCTCTCTATAAATCAATGGGAAAATATCTTCAGATGAGGATTTTAAAAAAAGAGCCATTCCCCTGAGAAGTGCTCATTGCATAACTCCACAAGGCCACCCTAAAGTCCCCAGATGCAAAGATGGGGTTTCCAAAGACATTGGGCTGTGTTTGCACCTGCTGCCTACCCCCAGGTGGTTTACCATGACATGGGAGACTACAGTGCTGAGCCACGACAATCAGACCGTGAGGAGCGAGACCTGCACAACGCACTGGGTGAGCAGCACCTTAGAGGAAGGCAGGAGCTGGCGGGAGCTGGGCACCTGGGACCTGACTTGGAAACCCGAGGAACCAGAGCCGGAGCCCTGAGACTTGATGCCACCAAGAGGTCCACTCGTCCAGATCTGTCTCATCCCCTTCCCCTCCCATCCCTTCATTTGATGAACCCAGACCTTTATAGTTGATATTGTCCAGACGATAGATCACCTCGGTCACATCCCGGGAATGATCGTGCAGGACAGACAGGATTACTTTGGGCTTTGATGCAAAGGTGATGATGGCAACACTCACATTGATCTCAAAGCTGAAGATCTGTGAAGGGGGTGAGAGGTGGTGTCAGAGGCCCCAAAGCCAAAGGCTTGCTGGTAAGAGAGCAAGCAAAGGGCCCCGGAAGAGGCTGAGAGCTCGGACTGGCAAAGGCAAGTCTATGCGTAGACACTAAGAAACTGTTACTTGGAAGAACTACAGAAACTGACATTTGTTGACCATCTACTCTCTTTTACAGGCTCGTTCCTCATTCGATCTTTTTCTTTTTGTATTTATTGATTTGAGAGAGAAAGAGAGAGAAGAAGGTAGAAAGAGAGAGGGAAACTGTTGTGTTGTTCCACCCATTTATTCATTCATTGCTTGACTTCTGTGTGCCCTGAGTGGGGTCCTTGGTGCATCGGGGCGATGCTCCAGCCAACTGAACTACCGGGCCAGCGCCTCATTTAATCTTCACAGCAACTCTGAGGGGAGCATGAGGGTCCCTATTTTACAGACAAGGACATTGAGGTTTTGTTACCTTGCCCCAGGTCTCACCACTGATAAGAGGTGGAGGTAGGATTTGAACTTGCTTGTGCAACTCTGAGGCACCCAATGATCATATTTTGCAGCCTCATGGTTTAGTAAATGACTTAAGGAACACAGAAATCTCCTTTAAAATGTAGCTGGGAGGAAAAACATATATGCACATAAACTATTGTGAAAAGCATAAGTACCAAGGAAAATGTGGTCATTGAATTTAAATCATGGCTTCCAAACTCTTCTGTTCATGCATCTCATCAGTAAGGACATTTTGAGCACATACCCCGATAAAGGTATATATACTTGTAAACTATACTCATATTTATAAAGTGTATCATTATAAACACACGAAAATATTAAAATGTTTTCAAATTATTAAATATTAACATTGGTTAATATTGATTTCATTTAAGTTCAAATTATTCAACAGGGATACCGGTATTTTTCTGCCATCCCTAATGGACTATATTGTGTACCCCTCTGTGGAGAACTCAGTGCTGTTCATCTTTGGCGTCCCCAGCACCCAGCACCCAGCACGGTGCCTGCTGTATCGTAGGTGTCTGTGAAATAAAAGATGTGATCTATGAACTGAATCCATGATGCCTGCAGAGCATAGTCTATGGGCTGTGAGGGGGATTCTGAACAAGGGAAGGAAACAGAGAGACAGTGGGTGCAGGAAGGCCTGCCCGGTGCCCAGACTTCAGTTTTCTGACCCTGTCCACCATGAGGGTGGCGCTGTCCTTGAAGATACGGAAGTCTTCTTCCTTCACGCTCTGAGAGGCATCCAGGAGCAGGTAGAGGTTCAGGTGACCAGATCGCTGGATTTGGATTTTTCGGCCCACACTTTCTGGGAGAAATGTGGAAGGGGAGGGTCAGGTTTCCACCTCCGACATGCTCTCTTGCCAAGGGGCTCAGGCCTCCCTGCCTCCCTCCAGTCAGCACCATCCTGCTGAGCCCACCAGAGGCCGAGCCTCCAGGAAGCCTGCCCAGCGACCTGCGGTCCTGCCACAAACACTCACCCTTCCTCTTCTGTGTGGGGTTGGTGGATCCAAGCAGGTGGGACAGAGAGGTGCCCAGGGCAGGGGACACATCCTCAGGAAAGTCGTAAGAGTAGGGTTCTGTGGGAAGAGCCACGGGGTGAGCCGAGGCGGGGGCTGGTGCCCAGGAGTCTCAGGAGGGTCAGGGCAGTACTCACGGCGGCAGATGGGCTCCGTCCCGCTCCAGACGCCGCTGCCCTGGCACTCCCGCACCGCAGACCCTGTCAGCACCAGACTCGAGGAGCAGCGGTAGCTGACCTTGTCCCCATGGCCAAATCGGGACCCCGTCCGCACCGAGCCCACTGAGATGCCCGGGTTGGGGCAGTGGCCAGCTGCAAGTGAACACAGGAGATGGAGGTGAGCGGGCCACCCCTCAAGCCCTGGCCCTGCTCGCCTGCCCTGTCCCTCCAGCTCTTCCTCCGCCCCGGCCCCCCAGAGCCTCTGCAGGCTCCTTGGTCCCCCCGGGTGTAGACAGAACACCTTAAGGAGGGTCAAGTGCTCAGAGCTCAGTGGCCTCGGTCGCCAGTTCAAACATCCCAGGCCCAGCCCAGGGACTCAGCCTGCATCCATCCCAGACCTGGGCAGACGCCAGCAGAGAAGCCATCTCCAGAGAGGACATTGGCACTTCCTGAACCACAATGAGTCATCACTACACACCCGTCAGCATGGCCAAAACTAAAACAATGGGCCACTCAGGCCTGGCTGGGTAGCTCAGTTGGTTAGAGCGTCAAGGTTTCGGGTTCAATCCCTGGTCAGGGCACATACAAGAATCAACCAATGAATGCATAAATAAGTGGAACAACACATCGATGTCTGTTTCTCTCTCTTTTAAAATCAATAAATAAAAATTTAATAAAAAGATGCCCTGGCTGGTTTGGCTCAGCAGTTAGAGTGTCGGCCCGTGGTCCAGAGAGACCCGGGTTCGGTTCCCGCTAAGGGCATGTACCTCGGTTGCAGTTTGTCCCCGGCCCTGGTTGGGTTGTGCGGGTGGCAGCCACTCGATGTGTCCCTTTCACATCGATGTTTCTCTCTCTCTCTCTCTCTCTCTCTCTCTCTCTCCCTCTCCCTCTCCCTCTCCCTCTCCCTCTCCCTCTCCCTCTCCCTCTCTCTCCCTCCTACCCTATATGAACAAAAAAAATGGAAAAAATGTCCTCGGGTGAGGATTAAAAAAAAGAGAGATGGGGAATTCCAAGTGTCGGACACGTGAGCCCACTGAACTTGGCTACATCACGGGGTGCGGGCAGGACTGCCTGCCGGCCTCCCCGAAAGCGAGCGTGCCCACCAGGTCCCCAGTTCCACTCCCAGATAACCCGCTCGAGAGAAACAAGTGCATGGAAGTCACCCAGGAGCGCTCACAGAGCTCACTCATCATAGCCCACACTGGAAGTAACCCCAGTGCCCACCAACAGAATGGTGAAATAGATCATAACGTACTCATGTAATGGAAATACACAGCAATAAAAATAAATCGCAACACACAGGACGAGGAGGATGAGCCTTCCGGACAGTGTCGGGTGAGGGAAGACGAAGAAGCTCACACTCTGCATGGTCCCGTTTGTACGGGGGTAAGAACCAGCTGAACCATCCCAGGGACACCGAAGTCAGAAGGCTGGGCACCTTGCAGAGGGGCGGGGGCCTCCCGCGCTGCTGGATGTGTTCTCTCTCCGGTGGTGGTTACATGGGTGGACACGTGTGCAAGTTCAAGCTAAATACATAAGATCTGTAGACTTTACTGCAGGTAGATTCTACCTCAATATTCAAAACGATTTTATTTATGTTCAAATAAATGGCTACTTGTCGGCATCAAGGGCATGAGCAAGGGAGCCAACAGCTGGGCCACCAGGGAGGGAAGGGTCCTGCCACTTCACGGACTCTGTGTCCTCAGGACTATGTGCTCAGAACCAGGACCCAGGAAGCTCCCAAACCTGCAGACAAATGAGGCTCCAGGGAACCCGGGGAGCCCCACATTGCCGGGCCGAGCCCCTCACCACTCACCAGCACAGTCGCAACCATGACAAAGTGTATGTGGCCCTTCTCAGATCCCAAGCCCTGTTCTAGGCTCACTAACATCCCTCACTTCATCCACATGACAACCCATTTAACCTCTCCATGCCCGTTTTCATATAGTCGCACCCTTACCACCCCCATTTCACAGATGTGAAAACAGACAAAGAGAGGACAAACAACCTGCCCAAACTCTGTCAAGGTCAGAGGCAGGCGTGGCACCCAGCCGGGCTCCAGAGGCAAGGCACTTACGCGCCGCCCTCTCACCGGCCGTCTGCCCTGCAGGCCCATGGGTCCTGAACACAAGTCTTGCTTTGAGGCTTTGAAAAAGCTGCACAGTGTGTGGGCCTTTATGTTGGATCTGAAGCTTAGAACCAACTGCCTTGACCCAGGCTCCTGCAGGCCTGATGTGCGACCTGTCGATCTCAGTTTACCCAAACCCAGGAATGTTATTCTGACACTAGGAACACCAGGCCCCTTACTCCACGGAGGCTCCCTGCACGCACACTGGCCGCAGGGCTGCTGGAAGTCCCCAGCCCCACGCAGCCAGCAGTCAGGACACTCACCGCCGTTGTCACACACAGCCGTCTCCCCATCCCACATGCCGTTGGGGCGGCACTGCCGTACCGGGGAGCCCCGCAGCACGAAGCCATCCTCACACTGGAAGCTCAGGTTGCCGCCCACAGGGTGGGACCCCAGTCTTGGGGTGTACATGCCATTCTCAAAGGAAACAGGGGCCGGACAGCGAACAGCTGGAGAGAGAGGGGAAGGGGGATATGGGGATGGACAGATAACACGCCCAGGGCCCCGAGTGGGTGCCATTCACCGGACGCAGAGGGTTAGCCCGCCGACCGTCTGCGTATTAGGCTGGTGCCCATGCGATTGGGTGAGCACTGGCGACTTCGCACCGCTCAACCTAACACGCTCATAAATAGCCACTTTTCTCAGCCCCACTCCTGGGGTCCCCAAATGTCCCCCGAGTGGGCAGAATCATGCAGTCAACTGTTAAATATTTTTAAAATCATCACAGGCGTTTAGCACCCCACAATCTGTCAAACCCACTGCCAGCGCCCTGTTGTGGACTCGTGGCGAGCCCCAGGGAAAGCTGCCCGCCCTCCCTCCCACGCCATCCAGTGAGGTTAAGGCCCACTCTGAGCAAACCCTAGACGAGGCTCTGAGGTAGCCGAGCACGGGAGCCTCACGTTTGCAGACGGCCTTTGTCCACAGGCCGGGTCTTGGGGTTTGCCACCTCCCGTTGCTCAGGCACAGTCTGGACGCAGGGACTGGGTACCGGCCCTGGGGGCAGGAGTAGACAAGCACACTCCCAGGGGCCCAGCCGTGGCTGAGGGTGAAATTGCCCCCAGAGATGTTCACGTTCCGAGGGCAGGAGGGCGCAGCTGCAGCCAAGCCTGTGGGCATGGGGACAAGACACAGAACTGGACAAAGAAGGAAGGCACCATCCTAACCCTGGGAGGAGCCAAGGAAAGCAAGAGACTGTTTCCAGCATGGAAACTCACCCGGGGTGGCAGCAGCCTCGCCCAAGGACCCCAACATCCCCCTCCCTCGCTCCTACCTGGGTATAGGGGCAACAGGCAAAGCAGAGCCATGAATGAGCCCATGGTGTCCACCTTCAGGGCAGTGACAGGCAGTGAACTAGGAGAAAAGGTCATCTGACTTCCCGAAAACCAGAGCTGGCTCAGCAACTGCTTCGTTTGCTGCCAGAGAAGAAAACCAGGGAGTGGCAGGGGGGTGGCCTCCTGCCAGGAGAAAACAGTCAGAAGCTGGGGACTGAGCTGAGGGGTGAGCGCGCCCCAGTCCCAACATAGCGGGTGAGTCCGCGAGCCTGCACCGTCTCCACTGGCAGGCTCCTCCCGCGGGACACTCCGCCTGCACACACGCTGGTGCACGAAGAGTCCGAACCCACCAACCATCCACGATATTGCAAAACCACTTGCTTAGATAAAGTTTGTTTTCTTCTGGGTTTTGCCAAGTGAACTTTACCTATTGAGAGCCTGAGACAGTGCTGTCTACTCGGTCAGAAACTCCAAGAGATTGAGATGCACTTTCTCGAACTTCTTGATCCATAAGAGCAGTTACAATCTTCCCAGCTGCCCTTCCCCAGAGAGAATCTGGGGACAAAAAAATGAAACCAACAATTAGTTTTAGAGACTGGAAAAAATTTTAGAACATTTTTACAGAAAGTTCAGTAGATAAAATTTCCAACTTATAAAATAAATCAGTCTGGCTGGTGTGGCTCAGTGGCTGAGCACTGACTCATGCACCAAGAGGTCGCCAGTTCAATTCCCAATCAGGACACATGCCCAGGTTGTGGGCCCAGGCCCCGGAGGGGGCGGGGGGCACGCAGGAGGCGACCAATCGATGTTCTCTCTCATTGATGTTTCTATTTCTCTCTCTTTCTCCCTTCCTCTCTCTAAAATCAATAAAGAAAAAAATTTTTTTAATAAATCAATGTTGGGTTGGTTACTCAAAGGAATGAAAGTATTTGGGGTGGGGCTTTTAAGTCGGAACCTGTGTTGTGTGCAGTGGGAGAGCAAGGAGCCCCACGGAACCCCTCTGCCACTCTGTCACACTATGTGAGGTAGAAACAAATAACGTTAATCAAAAGTGAAGATGAACCATCTCTTAAGTGATCACTTAAGTTTGTGAAAACTCTTTTGATTTACAAATAACTCCTCAGAAACACACACACACACACTGGGGCCCCCTTGGGCCCACTGACTGCAGGCATGAAGACTGTGACACCCCTGGTTTGGGGGGTCCCCAAGCTGCTGCTATGGCAGAGCTGCTGGTTCCTCCCCCAAACCCAGCACTGTTCTCCCCCTCTGTATTAAGAGATGTTTAGCAAGACACACAGTCACCCAGCAAAAACTACATTTCCCAGTTTCCTTTGCAGCTGGTTGCCAGGTGACATGGTCCTGGCTAATAGGATGTGAGTAGAACTGCTGTGTGTAACTTCCAAGTTATGCCCCTAAAATAAAAGAGGAGTATGCCCTCCCCTTCTGATGCACTGGACTGTAAACCTGGCGGTGATTCGAGAACAACATCCCAGGGACGACAGCAAACAGAGGGCCTGGGTCCCCGACACTGCATTGGTATCATGCCAGCCCTGCCCACCCGCTTCAACTGTTACAAGAGAGATACAAACTGTCTCAAGGGTGGTGGACATTAGAGACGTTCACAAATGTTCTGGCTTTGCCTCCTTTCAGTCACACAGCAGGATCGACCTTCCCCACCCATTTGCTTGGCCAATGAAACTGAGTGACATGTATCGCTTCTAGGCGGCAGCTCCGTGAGCCAATGCAGGCACCGTTTGAGATGGTGCTCCGTCTGCCCAGATCCCTGGGTGGCACCAAGAGCGGGACCCCTGCTGACCCTCAGCAGACATGTCACATACGTCAAAAACAAACCGTCATTGCTGTAATCCACTGCATGACCTCGGCCGCAGGGAAAAATAGCCCCAAAATTTAGGGGCTTCAGAAAATGATTTATTCCTTCTCATGACTCTGTGGGTTGGCCAGGTGGTTCTGGTGCCGGTCCTGCCTGGGCTCCCTCCTGCAGCTGCAGCAGCCTGAGGGCTTCTTCAGTGCGCACAGAGGGACAGCCGCAGCTTGCCCTCTGTGGCTCTCGGGACAGCATCCCGAGGTCCCGAGCAGGAACGGCAAGGTCCCACAACACCATCCACAGAAGTCACATCTCATCACTCCCACCATTTTCTGCCGGTCACAGCGAATCCCAAGGCCAACCCAGATTTAAAGGTGGAGGACACTTTACCTCTTGATGGGAGGAGTGGCAAAGTCACATCGCAAAGAGGCATGCACACCTTAAAAGGACATTTATGGCCATATTTTGCAAACTACTATGGTAACCAAGGTTTGTCTGTTACTGGGCACAATAAATCCTCGCCTGACTGAATTCCTAAGCTACTGAATTCTGGGTGCCTCTCTAAGCCACTGCTGTAGACTGAATTGCATGCTCCCCAAATTTCATACATGAAGCCCTAACCCACAATGTGACTGTATTTGGAGATTATCAAGCCTATAAAGAGGTAATTAAGGTTAAATGAGGTCATAAGGGTGGGTCCTGATCTGAGCTCTCTTCCCCCCGCCCCCGGCCCCATGCCTCCCTCCTGCCCCATGTGTCACAGAGGAAATGCCACTTGGGGAAGGCCACCTGTGAGCCAAGAAAACACCTCTCAGCAGACACTGCCCATGCGGCCCCTAATCTTGGACTTCAGCCTCCAGAGCTGTGAGCAATCAATGTCTTTTGTTTAAGCTGACTTGTCTGTGCTATTTTGTTTTGGCAACTCAGACCGACTAATACATCTGCCCAATTCATATCTAATAATGTCTTTAAAAGAAAGGGCTTTTCTTTCATGAGTTTCCCCCAATGTTTGTTGAGTTAAATAAACTTGGCAGAGTGTGTCAAAACCCACTGGTCATTCTTTCGTAAGTAATAAAATCCCCGTTGTTCACTGAGGCCATAGTTCATGCTCCTAAGGAAAGGGGTGTGCTCCTCATCTTTTCTTCCCCTCTTCCCACTGGCTGGATGCCAACCCACACCACAAGGTGGAAGTCACGTGTTCACAATGGCAAAGCAACTAAATTAAAGAAGCCCTGCTCCCCAAACCTGCAGGGTGATCGTAACTGCCCAGATTGTTTGTGCTCAGATTGTTCCCAACACTGTCATTCTGGCCTTGCTTCAGCGGCCAAGCTTGTGTGTAACTCCTGTGCTCACCGGAAATCAGCACCGGACCCACGGCAACATCTGGGACGTGTGTTTACTGGGCTTCAACCTAAACTGCTGTGATAAAGAGAATGCAAAACACAGGGGCTTAAGTAAGGTAGACAGGTAGTTCTCTCTCAAAGGAGAGCCTCCGTGTAAGCAGACAGCAGACACGGCCAGCTTGGCCTTGCAAGGGGCAGAGCTGCCCACCGCCTCGCTCGGGAGGTGGGCTCCATCTATCTGGCGGTTAGACTCCTGAGAGTTGATTGTCCTTGTCTTCGTGGCCGACACAGGCCTCCATCAGGCCTGCACCCAGTTCTCAGGACGTGGAAGGAAGGAAAAACAGGGACAAGTAAAGACACGGGAAGTCACCCAACTCCTCCACTCAGGTTCCCTTGGCAAAAACTTGATTATATGGGAGGCTGGGAAATGTAGTTTCTAGTTTGTCTGCCACATGCTGTGTTGGAAGAGAATGCATTTGGGGAGACAAGCAATGTACAAGAGGTCCACTCTGATGGGAAGCTGCCCCTGGGAGCGCCCCGTGCACCAGGGCAAAGCAAGCTGAACAAAGAAACAGTGGCCAGCAGAGTTGGGCCCCTGTTCCAGTTCTTCCTGAGGCCTGTCCAGTGTGGAAGGACCATGGCCTGAGAGCCTCTAGGCCTAAAGTCATCAGATCTTTATTCCCCTTTCTACACTCTCAAGTAGTTTTCAGTAGATCTCCTATTTGGTGAAGGTGACCTTGGCTTGTCTATTTTTTGCATCACTAAAAAGCCTGGCAAATGCAACCTATGTTTTCCCTCCAAATGGGACAAAGGAGGTAAATAATGCCTAAAATGAGACCTTCCGCTCCTGCCAGCTTCTTCCTTGCTGTCCAAATTTCTTCTCATCCATCCGAGGCTTCCAGGATCTACTTTCAGGGGCAATTCCAAAGAGAAGAAACCAGCGCCCCGTGGTCTGCTCTCGTCTCCTAGTCACCAGTTTTCAAAGGGAAATGTTGGTGTGACAGCTTCCCAAGATGCCTCACTGCTCCCACAGGGAGCTCAGATAAGACAGGCAGGGCCATGGGGATGTGGTCTCCATGTAGCCACAGTCCGCTTCTCATCCAGTCCGGACACAGACATGGGCTGAACTAGGATCTGCACCCTCAACCCCCATCGCAACCACAGAGCCAACTCCTCTTCCAGGTCAAGCCCCAGTTTTGGGAACAATGTTGACCTGGCCCGGTTCTCAGCCTACTCTGTGATTTGAGCTGAGGCTCCAACAGTCATGAGCAAGGCTCTTTCTGTTCGTAGCAGATCTGTCCTTGCCCCCACTCAAGTCCCTTGGGCCTCAGCATTGGTCTGTGTCACTGACTTCCCACAGCAGCCTCTCTGTCTGCTCGAGAGCTTCTCTAGTGTCCTGCTCCACCTGCGCCCAGGCAGCTGGAAAGGCCAGAGAACCAAGGCCCCTGAAATCAGCCCTCGCCTTGTGACTGCGTGGAGTGGGCATATAGTGCCCAGCCCCTCACTCCCACCCTGGGATAATTCCAGTGTGCGTGTTCTGCCCCTCGTGAGGGTTCCGCGGTGGGACTAATCTCCACTCACCCACGACGGCAGCTTCCCTTGGTAACACACCCATGATGCCCACCGTTCCTGTCTCACGTTCCTGGGTCCACCTCCCCAACGCACTGTTTGCACTTGAATCCTTGCCTCCAGGGCTGCTCCTGGGGGAAGACTCCATGGTAACAGGAACTATCCTGTGCTAGACACCATCCTAAACCCTTAGCATGTAGGAGCTCATTTAATCTTTAAAGCAAGCTGATGGCACAGTCTTATCATTATCCCCACTTGATAGATGAGGAAACGGAGGCACAGAAATGACCTGCCCCAGATTCATGCAGGTACTGTGTGGCAGAGCTGGGACTCAAACCCACGCAGCATGGCTCCTGAGTTTATACTCATGGCCCTAGTGCTTTGGTGTCTCTTCCTAACATTTCTTTCTTTCTTTCTTTCTTTTTTTTTTTTTTATCCTCACCCAAGGACACCTCGTTTTTTTGCTCAGATAGAGTGGGAGGGAGAGAGAGAAAAACATCCATGCCAAAGGGACACATCGAGTGGCTGCCTCCCGCACGACCAACCAGGGCCGGGACAAACTGCAACCGAGGTACGTGCC